AAGCTGCTGAGGAGGGAACGTTTTGCTCTTCACCTGCCTCACTGGTTCAGAACTGGGAGGACGTGAAGGAATGAGGGACATCAAAGAGGTGGTAAGATTGTTCTATTTGTGTCTTTGGAAATACATCTTGATTTTGGTAGTTCAAGCCCTACCCCTACCCATTGGCCACCCAACCGTCTGTCCTCTGGGGTTGGATGGTGGAGCCCCAAAGAAGCCTTCCCAAGTGGGAAGCTGTTTGGGGTGAGACAAGTGTGTGGGGGACGTGCATTGGGTCAAGAGTGCGAGCAGAGGACACACTTACCTCTCGGTAGATGTGTGTTTCAGCCCCACCCGCTCCAGCGGATTCCTGTCTATTAATGAGGCGGAAGATGATCTTACTCTGTTTTATTTCAGATTCTGATGTAGGAACTGGTGATGAGAAGGTGCCTCTGGAGTCTGCATTTCTGAGAATGGAAATCTGCACAGGACACTGTCAGAAACACGCACAGTGATGGAGACTCCTGCCCCTGAGTCTGGGGGGGTCTCTGCACCAGGATTAGGAGGGCTGTTGGGAAATCTGGAAGGGCAGAGCCCCCTGTCTCGGGAGGGAGGTCGCAAGCCAGTGACAGTTACTCATTGGAAGATCCAAACAGGAGAGGCAGTCCAGGTGGGAAGTGCATGCAGAGGCAGCCCCGTTCTGAGCTCAGACCTCCTCATCCTTCAGAGAGAGCTTATGGAAGGGGAAGCCCACCCATGTGGGACTTGTGGCCAAAGCTTCCCATTTATTGCGGACCTAGTTAGACATCAGATTTCTCATACTGGGGAGAAACCTTACAGATGTGACCAGTGTGGGAAAGCCTTCAGCCAGAGCTCCCACCTTGTTGAGCACCAGAGTGTTCACACTGGAGAACGACTCTATGTGTGCAATGCTTGTGGGAAAGACTTCACTCACTATGCAGATCTCATTGAGCATCAGAGAGCACACACAGGAGAAAAGCCGTTCAAGTGCGCTCAGTGTGGGAAAGGCTTCTGTCACAGCTCAGACCTGATTCGACACCAGCGTGTCCACACCCGGGAGAGACCTTTTGAATGCAAAGAATGTGGGAAAGGCTTTAGTCAGAGTTCATTACTCATTCGACATCAAAGGATTCACACAGGAGAAAGGCCCTATGAGTGTAATGAATGCGGGAAATCCTTCATTAGGAGCTCAAGCCTCATTCGACATTATCAGATCCACACAGAAGTGAAACAGTATGAATGTAAGGAATGTGGAAAGGCCTTCCGTCATCGCTCAGACCTCATCGAACATCAGAGAATTCACACTGGAGAGAGGCCCTTTGAATGTAATGAGTGTGGCAAAGCCTTCATCAGGAGCTCAAAGCTTATCCAGCATCAGAGGATCCACACTGGAGAGAGGCCTTATGTTTGCAACGAGTGTGGGAAGCGCTTTAGCCAGACGTCAAACTTTACTCAGCATCAGAGAATTCACACTGGAGAGAAACTCTACGAATGTAATGAATGTGGGAAAGCTTTCTTCCTGAGTTCATACCTTATTCGACACCAGAAAATTCACACTGGAGAGAGGGTATACGAATGCAAGGAGTGTGGCAAAGCTTTTCTCCAGAAAGCTCATCTCACAGAACATCAGAAAATCCACACGGGGGACAGGCCCTTTGAATGTAAGGACTGTGGGAAAGCCTTCATCCAGAGTTCCAAGCTGCTTCTACACCAGATCATTCATACTGGAGAGAAGCCCTATGTGTGTAGTTACTGTGGGAAAGGGTTTATTCAGAGGTCAAACTTCCTTCAACACCAGAAAATTCACACTGAAGAGAAACTGTACGATTGTAGTCAATATGGGAAAGATTTCCACTCTAACCCGAACTTTAAAAATAATCAAGGTCTTACTCAAGAGGGGCTTCCCTTGAGCAAGACCCCCGCACATGTGGGTGAGAAATCTGTAAGTCAAGGGGGTCACACAGATGACTTATAATTATTCTCCAGGTCAGCGATGTTTGCAAGCAGGTGGCATGAGTGTTGTGGCTCATGGGCCTTTGGACATGCCAGCATTTCCGAGAGTCACGGCTGGGGCTGCTTTAGGAGTGGGCTGCCACCTGCGTGTGCAGTCATGCTGGACTGACCTCGGCCAGGAACCTGTGTCCTCGGGAGAGTTACCTGAAGACCGCTGCCTGAGCTGGAACAGTGGGGGCCAGGAGCTAGGTCTCTAGATGTTCCTGCCCAATTATAGCTCGCCCCCGGGTTAGGTCCCCTTAGAGAATGATGTGCCCACTCATTAAACAGCTGATGGAGCAATTTAGATTGATCAGCAGGCAGTCGGAGAACCGCGGGGGCTTCCCTGTGTCCTTGGGCACATTCTGAGCTCCCTCCCTGCATCCTAAGGTCTTTTGCTTCCTGGAGCCTCGTCTCCCACCACCTCACTCAGTGTTGCAGCAGCACTAACGGTCGTTCCTCGGATCCAGGCTGTCCCTGCGCCCTGGCCTCCGTCCTGTTCAAACGCTCTCCCTGTCCTCCCCTGGCGACTCATCATGAGTAAAGACCACCCAGGCATTGTGTCAGGCTCAGCCTCTTCCACTGCTGGGCTTCTGTCGTCATTCGCACCCTGTTCCTGCATTTACTTTGAGATATAAGAATTGTGTCTTTATATATGTCTCATTATTGCACTGCTGATTCTTTGTGGACACAGTCATATCTGACTGATTCGTGTCCCTGGTGTCTGGTGCAGGACAATAAAAAAAGCCCACCCCATACCTGTGTAAGTGGTGCCTCTCCAGCTTTGTCCCTTTTTGCTGCTATTTTCAAACGCTTGGATTTTGTCCTTGCTTTGTACAGTGTAACCTGCTGGGCTGCTGGGAATACCTTCGGAGCCCAGTCCATGTCTGCTTGTCCTCAAGCCAGAAGTCACAGGTGGTGGCCAGTGTAAGCCAGGCCCTCAGGTTGCTGCTGAGCTCAACCACGGCCATGCCCCGGCCTCGGAGCACTGCTGCACTTACTTGTCCGTGCATCTTTCTGGTTCGCTCCAGGGCAGGGTCCCAGCACCTGACCTAACTCCCACCTCTGAGCAGTCCAGGCCTGAACCCAACTCCTCTCTCTTTCCTACTCGCTGGCTCCTTCCGTCGATGACTCGAAAATGTCTTGACCTGTAAGGACCAGCGGTAAGCCCTGGGAAAACATGAGAAAGACACATGGAACCTGAGGTCATTCCAGGCCTCTAGGGAAGCCAGGTCACGGCACAACGAGCAACGTGTGGACACACGTCCCTGGCTGTGCAGGAGCGAACGCAGGAGGTGGCCAACATCGCCTTTGCCTGATCCACGGAGATAAGATGTTTGTCAGAAGATGGAATGAAGGAATTCGAGCGGAAGTAGGGAGTTGCATGGAGCTGTTGAGAAGCAGGCCGGTTATTACACAACAGATAACTGGCTAGTGAAGCCCTTAGTAGTTGCCTCTGAGTTTCCTTTATCTAAACATTAACCAAAACACCCCCTTGTGAAATTGGATAAGTTCTTGGGTTTTTCTGCCCATGAAGTCATATTCTGAGTTAACAAATTTCAGCAATCCCAGACGCCCCAAGGGAGTAAGTAATTTTAAAAGGGCTGCAGAACTCTGGAGAACTTGCCATCTGAAGTGCAGACACTGGTATGACCAGGTCATTTTAATCAACGTTGTTGCGGTCCAGTTTCCACACAGTGAAAACACCTATTTCAGGTGTGGCTTTAACGTACCCGTGTCACCACCGTCATAACCAGGAAGCAACATTTCTATTGCCCAAAATGTTCCCTTTGGCTGTTCCTCAGTTAATCCCACCCCAGCCCCAGCATCCACTGTCGGTCGGTGTAAGTTTGCTTATTCTAGGACTTGGTAGGAGTGGGTGCACATGGTATGTTATCTTGTGTGTCTAACTCCTTTTCATTTTGGCATGTTTTAAAAGACAACCCAGTGTAGTTTCTAGCTGCAGTAGCTCTTCTCTTTGCTGAGTCATGTTTGATTGTATAAACCGTCATTTATTATTCATCCGTTAGAAATTTGCGTTTCCAGCTTGGACTGTTAAGAATAAAACTGTGATGAACATTTGTGTACAAGTATTCGGAAATGCCTCTTTATTTCTCTTGGGTGAATGACTAGGAATTGCTGTTATAATTGTTTTTAACTTGATAAAAAGTCGCCATTCCCAGCCAGTGTGACTCAGTCGGTTGGCACGTTCTTCCTACACCAAAAGGTGGCTGGGTTGACTGAGGGCAACTGGGACTCATTCCTGCCCTCGCACCTCTCCACTCCCCACCCAAAAAAAAAAGGTGGCTGGGTTGAGTCCAGTTGGGGCACATACCCAGATGGTGGGCTCGGTCCCCAGTTGGAGTGTGTGTGGGAGACAGCCAATCAATGCATCACTTTCACATTCATGTTTCTTTCTCCTCCTCCCTTCCTTTCTCTAAAAAAATCAATAAAAGCATGTGCTCGCGTGACTTAAAGAAAAAATTGCCAACAAATTTCTCCACACTACCATTTTGTGCTCCTGCCACAGCACCAGGGCCCAGTTGCTCCACGTCCTCATCCACACGCCACTGTCACCCCCTAACACGGAACCCATCCCAGCGGTGTACATGTGTCTACTTCGTCCTGCGTGGCGGGGCTGAGCACCTTTCACATGCGTGCTGCCACCGGTGTCATCCCCACCATGTGTCTGTTCACGACTTTTGCCCACATTTTTGTTGCTGTTAATCCTGAGGATATTTTTCCATTGATTTTTTAGAGAGAGTGGAACGGGGAGACACACAGAGAAACATGGTTGTGAGAGACATCAATTAGCTGCCTCCCACATGTGCCCTGACCAGGGCCAGGGATCAAGCCTGCACCCGAGGTACATGCCCTTGACCGAAATTGAACCTGGGACCCTTCAGTTTGTGGACTGATGCTCTGTCCAGAGCCAGGCTGGCAAGGACTTGAGCAGCTTGGTTAGCGGAAGAGGCCGGAGAGCCGTGCGAGGAATGAGGAGCTGGCAGCAAGATTTTCCAAGTAACTCTTATTAAAGTGTAACTTACATACAAATATGTCCCAAATGTCAGTACCCAGGGGAATGACTTTCCACAGAGAGGAGCAGTGGCCGGTCTGAGGGTAATGGGAGTGTTGGATTCTGAAGCCTGGAAGGTGGGATGGAGATACAAAGTGTGTGGAGGGTTGGGGGCTCTTCATGAATCATGCGCTTAAATGTGCATGTTGACATCTCAGATAATGAAACGGGGGAGGAGTCCAACTGAAACACAAAATGAGAAAGAAAATTCAGAAACTATAAAATAAACGGATGAAAAGTAATATTGCTATTGATACTGCAACTCAACCTCTATAAACTAAGCACACTCTGTGGTCCAAAATAATTGCTTCAAAATACTGAACGTCAGCAGTGACTACAGGGAGAAACTGATGAATGCCAACTCTGAGCAGCCTTCCTCCTCCACAGGGAGCGCTGGGCGGAGCGGGAGGGCCCAGAGGGCAGGGTTCCCGCCTGCTTCCTCTGTGGTTCCCCGTTCCGTTCGCTGCTCCTGACAAACAGGAGCTTCCTTGTGAACCTGCGCTCTCAACTCCTGCTGCTCCGCCCAGTCCCGTTCCATCCCAGGCCTGCCCATCCCAAGGGTCATCTTCTTTGGGCCTCAGATCACTGCGCTCTCCTCCGAAGACCAGCGATTTACTAGCCTTCCCTCTGCGCTCAGGGCGATGTCACTGTCCCCGGGCCAGCACTGAGGGTGCTTGGCCTGCCCCCCCCGCCCGCCCCCCCAGCCAGGCGGCCTCCTGGCACAGCCACCAATGAATATGCACACCACCTCAGGGACATCTTAACCGGCCTGTGCACACTGGGACTGACAACTGAATGTGGTAAACGCTGGCAGACGGGTGGCCACAGGGCACTGTGGGGGCAGCTGACAATACTTGCGTGTGAAGTGAGGACATGCTACACTATTTTCTCCGCACTGACCTCGGGACGGTCACTGGGCTGCAGCGATGGAGAGCGTCCCTGTCCTCAGGAAACATTATGAGGACTAGAGGTGACGGTCACCACCTAGCGACCTAATCTGAAATGTTTGGGGCATGGGGCGCTTGCGCGCGCACACACACACACACACACACACACACGAGGTAGAAAGCAAACTGCTGGTGAATCTAGATAAATGCTATACGAGACTTCTCTGTACTAGTCTTGCAACTTTTCTCTACATTTGAAATTACATAAAAAAAAAAAAGTTACCCAACCCCCCAGGAGGTTGAACACAATCGGTGGCCGACACTGGCCCTCCTGACCACAGGCTCCTTTCTGCCCTGGCCACCTTCCCACACCCCCTCCCCCTTGCGTCTCTGCCACCACGGTCATCCCGACTGTCTCCGGCCCTGGCCCTGCGGGAGCAGCGGAGGCCGGCCATGGTGGGGAGGGATGCTGGCTCCGGCTGACACGGGGTGAGGGCACATCAAGCTACCTTGCCGCCTGGAAAGGAGTAGGGGGCCCGGAACTGGCAGGAAGTGCTGCAGCAGCAGGGCACAGAGGTGTGTGTGTGGGGGGGGGGCGGGCGGGGTGTCACATTTTTATGAACAACTGCACTCACCAGCTAGCTTCCTGCGCTCGGTCTCCCCCACCCTGGACTCCTTCCGGGTGGGTTCAGTCTGCCCTGTCAGTGTCCTTGGTCTCCGTCGGCTGGCCCGGCCCCGGGACAGAATCAGCAGAGGCAGTGGTGCTCTGCGAGGCCCCGCGGTACGAGGACCGCGAAGGGATCCTGGAGCCATAGAGGGACTGGGTCAAGGATGAGAGCCGCGAGCCGGGGCTGGACAGGGCCAGGGAGCCCAGGCGGGACGAGGCCAAGGAGACTTGGGAGTCCCTTTTCGACCAGTCCTGGGAATGGAACTGTGACCCCGCCTTCAGCGAGACCAGCGACGGGACCGTGGAGCCCACACGCAGCGAGACCACTGACGGGGCCCTGGAGACGGCAAGGGAAGAGGCCTGGGACGGGTTCCGAGAGGGCTCGAACAAGGAGCCCGGGGGGGAGTTGGAGGAGTCTGTGCCGGAGGCTACGGACCCCTGGCGTGTCCAACCTGCGTCCAGGTCCCTTGGCCAGTCTCGATGGAACAATCAGAGCAAATGAACAAAAGCCACGCCATACTGCTCCCCCACCCTAGAAAGCCTGCCTGGAACACGGCTTTCGTTCTTCAAGGTTCAGTGCAGCAGCTGCCTCCTCGGGGAAGCCTTCCCTGACTACCACCTCCCTCCCTGGGTATTTCTGCCTCTTCCTTCAAGATTCCACTCAAGCACCAAGCTGTATTGGATCAAATACTCCATCTTCTAAACCAGCCTTGGCACCCATTTCTCCTCCCCCCCCCCAC